GGATCACAAACACAAAACTCTCGTCTCTGTGAACAAAGTTTATCATCAAACGGTACATGTCTATAGGTATATATTTTCAATAGAGACAAGTTACTGCCCGTCGGAGAAAAACGGGCTGTCAAATGATAGGACCGTCGGATTAGAGGATTGTTGAATTTTAGGACTGTCTCATTATAGGTCTTACTACAGAAATTTCTATGATTTGATAAAATTGCACCCGGTTTTTCTAATATATCTCATTTGACCCGGCAAGACAAATTATTTTTTATTTATGTATGTGTTGTAATAATCAATAATGATAATAATCGATATGTAGCCTGGGATTAGTATTCGTATATATTATATTCCGAGTGTATAACGTATCAAATACAGTTATATTTTAAGGACAACACCTGGCCTGCAATACACTTATAATTTAAATGTCCATTCCTTATCTAATTACTTTATTATTTATAGCATTTATAATTTTGCCGAGGTCAAATACGCCTTCAAATTCTTGTGTTTACGTTAATCATATGCGGTCTGGGAAATAGATGTATATCTAGTTTATCTTAGGCCACAGACCACAATTAAATTCCCCTATTAGTTCTTTATAACGTTTTGTTTCATTAAAAAAATTGCACCTTGCATTTTTGTCAAATCTTTTGTGTGTATAATGTATAGTACTAGTCCAAAAATATATCCAAAATTCGGAAAGATTGAACCAATGACTCTTACAAATTTAGCCAATACACATCCATACCCCTATGGACAAGTCAAGAGATGTTCCGAAAACTGTAAATATCACCTTTTTGCACCTGGCCTAATCACTCTTTCCATATCAAAATCAGTTAAAATACAACATCCAAAAGATTATTTCACCTCTCTTCTTTTATTTCCACCCAAAAAAAATACACTCTAATTAAAAGGAACTATATTCGTGGACAACGAAAAGCGGGATCATTAATTGTGGTCTTGGGCCTATTTTTTCACGGTTGTAATGGCGACGCTACTACGATGACGCCTAGGAGTCGCGTCACAAACTAAGGCAGATAATCGGAAAAACCTGTCTCAAAAACAAGCACACGAACCTATCATTTTTTTCTTCTTTTTAAGTTCTGTTATAAATATACTTTCAATTCATAACAGTCTTTTTAAAAGCTTGTTATTCTGAAACAGAGTAGCAAACATCCTTAAGTCAACGACAACGATATAGTGCGCATACTCGAATGTATAAAGAATTAAAAAATAATAAACAAACGGTGCTGTATAGATCAAATACGATTTGAATTCTATCAAATAAATGAGCCATGAATGATCCAAGACTCTCAGCCCTGACAGTTTCTCTGGACAGAGCATTCCAGTCGCCAATGATCCTTGGATATCGTGAATCCCTCCGATGAATTGTGCTGCAGGAAGGAGATACTATGCATATTTCGACTATATCTTGTTTGTTTACTTAGTCTATCGGAAGAATCTATATGTTGAGTAGTCTATGTACAATTTTATACATTAGTACTCATCCGGATCTTTTTCTGTGTCCTTCAAAGGCATGTATCAAATGTTCAATGAAACAGTGAAGGATAATAAGAATCATTGTCAGGGCCTTGTAATTTAGCGGCTTTCAATTTCTATTGCATTTTGATCTTTTACAACGTCCATTTCCCCTTTATTCATTTTCAACCATTCGAATAAAAGCGAATTATACGGTTTTCCGTGCAGACTACACGTGTTTCTTCTGTAACCTTTATCAGGTAAACCACCAAAAGCAATATGGACCAAAACAGAACCGTAGTATTATAACTTTGGCTGAGCGAGTTTAAAAACTTAGTTTATGATCAGAATCAACATTTGAATTTTGTCTATACGAAAGCCTAACCGGCGAATGAATCCTTATTTGTTAAAAATAAATAGAAATGTTAGTAATACATCAATGTTTCGGCAGCCGGCAGCCCCACGACAAAAAACTAAAAGACATTTAGAGGTCAGCATTTATCAGAAATGTTGGCTTTGAGCGTTCGTGATGAAGACATGAAAGCCAAAACACTATTGTCTTAACAAGTCATATTGTCTTACTTAAACCAAATCAAAGCTTTTATCTTTAGAAAACGTGATTTTTCTTTGTTGCTGCTCACCATGTACGGAGTTTCTGAAAGGCCTATCATAATGCTCAATTATTTTTTTCGTTTATTGTTTTGTACACATCAAGCCGTTGGTTTTCACGTTTGATTTTTTTTTTACTCTGTATCTTGTTGAGACCTTTTATAGATCACTATATTATGGATTTTTCCTCATTGTTGAAGGTAGTATGGTGACCTTTACATCTATCTCATTAGGTCTCAGATGGAGAACTGTCTTTGTGGTAATCATACCACATCTTCTTATTTTTATATTGCAACAGAAATTAAATTTGTAATTGGATTGATACTGAATTTAGATTGATCAATAAAATAAAGGAAATTTCCTGATATTTCAAAAGAAAATTATATCAACATATATCGATTTTCAATAATTTGTCATTAAAAATTCATTCATGTTAAACTGTTTCTCGTCTCTTGAAGATCAAATATCTCAATTGTCAACAAACGAATTTCATAAAGTCTATATAATTACACTATAATTAAATACAATGCTTATGAACAAAGATCATGTATCTATATTTCTATGGAAAAAATCTATTTTAGATATATCTCGAAAAAGTTTATATTAAAATTCTTGTAATTATCGGATCAAGGATTTTCGATAAGTTGGACTATAGCCAAATGCTACCAATTTCTATGGTGCAAAGCACAATGATAATGAGAAATTTGTAAATGAATATAAACACGAATTAGGTAATTCTAGAAAAAAACTAATTTTTTTACAAGGTAAAGAGGCATATGTTTCAAACGGTCAAATTCGAGTTGTACCATTTTTTTCTATGTTCGTGAAATAACGAACAGGCAACATAAATATCCCTATATATCTCGGAATCTGTCAAATGAGTATCAACTAAAAGGTTTTTGGAATTTCATTTCTTCCCAGACTGTGTAAATTTGCTACTCGCCGTAGTCTCGATATAACTGGCAACAACACGCAGTTTTCAACATTATTACAGTATATCTCCATTTATTCTAATCAAGAGACAAATGTCTCGCACATATGCTATTCAAATCAAGATCTCCATATTTCAGTGAAGATCTTGTACAAGAATGAACAGGAATGTATGTTTATGTAAATAACAATCGCCATCACCAAACACCTTTTCTTTTTAGCTCGCATATGAAATTGGTTATATATCGGTAAATATCTTACAAAATATGTTATGTTAGTATGTGCCCTAAAAAATCTGAACATTGCTTTGAAATAAAATGTAGAATGCAGATGGTTTTTTTAGGAATACAGACATACGATACGACATTGAATTCTCATTCATTGGATGTAGTAAATAATTCATTTTGAATACGTTTGATGACACATAGGGATAATAAAAACCTCAAATTGAAGAGAGAACATACAAGGAAAGCAACAGCAAAGTCACGTGTGGGGCCAATATGTCCGAACTTGTTCACAGCTGGACCCCCAACGGCTAAGTTACTGACATATAACAATAAACAAGTTATGCCTGTAGATGTCTATTATAGTCGATTCTTGTTTTGTTTGTGTTGTTGGATTATTTGCTGAATGGTGTTAACCCACATCACCTGTTATCCATCTACATAAGTCTAGAATTATTTTGTAAAACAAATAATATATTTAATGCTGATATTTTAATATACTTTCTTGAACTTTATGAACAATTGATTTTCTTGCCCACGCTTTGTATGTCAATATTATATACAACACACGTTTAGGAATTGACATTAACACCCTCCTTTTTTAACTTATATGGTTATAATAATTGAACTGTTGTTAAATCCTTTCAGATATGAATAAAAGGACAAGTTGGGTATGAGGCAGCAACTAAACAACACAAAAACCATAATTAAATTCGTCCTGACCCCTATGGATTTTACTAACCCTCTATGGATCCGTAAGGGTCAGTAGCAAACCATATAACTTATAATATACGGTCTCCAACTGTTGCCAGTACAATAAGTCAATCTAAATCGACCCTTTTCTAGAAAAATAAATAACAAAGATTATGAAATATCAATACAAACTTTCATATAAGACCGACACCTTAAGATTTTCCATCTCACGAGGTTCCAGACTTTGGGAAAGGGGGTGAAGATGATGAGAGGTTAACCTATTTAGATCTCTACAATCCTCCCCTTTTAATCTAACCAATGAAATAACAAAAGGAACATATAACAAAGTACAATCAAAATTAGTTCAGAATATGCACTAAGCTCTGTAATACCGGTTATACAGACAAAGAAAAAACAGATTTAAGGAAAACAATATCATACTGTATCAAAGAAAGGTTGCTTACATCTACGACATTTAGTCTCTTGTGGATAGTTGTCTCATTGGCAATCATCCTCTATCGTATTTTTATATTACAGTTAGTTCAAATTACATGTACTAAACCTGCTGATATGAAATCATTCCGTGTTACACTGTAATGTCGACGGTAGTGCTATGGAGTGAAATTCACACACCGACGCCATAAATTGTATAGGAAGACACAATCTGTCCATAGTAAATTTGCACAGAAGTTCAAAGCAAGAAAAGGAAAGATACGATTGAAGACCCAATATAGATTTCAGATCGGTACAAGAAAGTGCAACGTTAACTTCTGGATTGTGTATCGTAACTTTTGTGAATATAATTTTGGGTAATTCCCACGTGAGAGATTAGTGATTTTATCTTTCCAGTAAGTTCTATATATAAAGCAAAACATTACTAGAAGAAATATATTGATATTTAGGCGTTTTTCTGTGTTGGTTAGGGTTTTTATCTTAAAAATATATTTCATATTTTGATTAATGATATATAATAAGAATTCATACACACCAAACAACGGCAGTTAATGATATACAATTTGGATCGCAAAAACCAAATGCAGAGATAGATGAAAGTGCAACAAACTAACTTACAGAATACAGCAAGCATTTCTTATTGCAGCAGGCACCACAAGCTCCAACTGATGCTATAACTAGAATAAAGCTGCCTAAAACGGCACCGGATATTGCTACATAGAGAAAAAATGAACCAACAGATTCATTTCCACCTGCATCTCGAAACAAAGGTTCAATATAACCTCCAAATATGTTACTTCCGGTGGCAACTACTATCCCGAATGCTGCTATAACAAATCCTATAGCCTGTAAACAAAAGACTACCTTAAAATAAGGTAATAACTAAACTTACATAAAGAACATTTTGTTCTTAAAATACGTTAATTCTTTACCAAAATGTACATAGTTGCAGTTAAAAGAAGAACATATCTACTGTTGTCTATATCATTAATGAGTAAAATCTGAATTGCCGTCTTTGTTTTAGTTACGATTAAATGGAAAGATAGTATTTATATTGCACATGTTTTAGTTACGATTAAATGGAAAGATGGTATTTATATTGCACATGTTTTAGTCACGATTATATGAAAAGATGGTTAGTCACGATTAAATGGAAAGATGGTATTTATATTGCACATGTTTAAGTCACGATTAAATGGAAGGATGGTATTTATATTGCACATGTTTAAGTCACGATTAAATGGAAAAATGGTATTTATATTACACATGTTATATCACGATTAAATGGAAAGATGGTATTTATATTACACATGTTGTAGTCACGATTAAATGGAACGATGGTATTTATATTGCACATGTTTAAGTCACGATTAAATGGAAAGATGGTATTCATATTGCACATGTTTAAGTCACGATTAAATGGAAAGATGGTATTTATAGTGCACATGTTTAAGTCACGATTAAATGGAAAGATGGTATTCATAGTGCACATGTTTAAGTCACGATTAAATGGAAACATGGTATTTATGTTGCACGTGTTTAAGTCACGATTAAATGGAAATATAGTATTTATATTGCACATGTTTAAGAGCGTTTGTTGATTTGTTTCTTTTTTTCTTCTTGTTAAATTTTGAAAATTATGGCTTCCAATTACAAATCAAGCTTAATGTTATACATATTTTTTTTTACTGAGGTAAAGTTATAAAACAACGTTTTTAAATTGAAATTAAAACAAATTGAGGAATTTAACCAATAGTTTAAAAATATAAATAAGAAGACTTACAATAAATATGACGTTGATAGTAACAAGAAGAATTTTTGATATCGTTTCGATGCTGCATTTTCCCATTTGCATTAATCTAGTGGTATCCTTTCATCCTAGATATTTAAACTGTACAGCAGCTAATGTGATATTGACTCTCAGAAATCGATTAACACGTTCAGTTGGATGGTTTTTATCCGTGGAATTGGAAATATGTTCAATTTTAAATGGCTGAGAGGAATATATTCTTTAATTTAGCTATTGATTGAACTGACAGTATTATGTTTAAATTTCTGTTCTGTTTGGTATGCAGTCTATTGCGTCATGGAATGTTGAACAGATATATCATGTTAAGGAGGGGTATTTGCAAAAAATACCAGTCGAGAGAATGTTAAATTTCGCGAGCCGTAAGGCGAGGGAAATTCATTCTCAAGACTGGTATTTTTCGCAAATACCCCTCAAGAACATGCTATATCTGTTTAATTACACCGAATGTTAACGTACAAAACGCATTGATGATCGTGACATAAAACGCATTGATGATCGTGACATTACAAGCGTCATTAATAGTATTTACAATATAATTACACCTTATGTAAGAATCCTGTGTTTTGATTGGTTGATAGCCAGTGTATTTTTCACCAATTTACTTTTATTAAATGAATATCGTTCATTTTTAAACCGCGCCGGGGTATATGCAAAAAGGATATGCCTTTTTTACCCTCTCTGCCGTGGTATTTGCCAAAAAATACTCTATCCGACTGGACGCTTGTAATGTCACGATCATCAATGCGTTTTATGTCACGATCATCAATGCGTTTTGTACGTTAACATTCGGTGTAATTAAACAGATATAGCATGTTCTTGAGGGGTATTTGCGAAAAATACCAGTCTTGAGAATGAATTTCCCTCGCCTTACGGCTCGCGAAATTTAACATTCTCTCGACTGGTATTTTTTGCAAATACCCCTCCTTAACATGATATATCTGTTCAAAATACAATGGTGTAATAGTGTTGTAAAAGAAATCGTTTTTATTGTGAGAGTGTATCATGACGTATTTATAAAACAAACTATATTCCATAAAGTAAAAGAACCATAAGAAAGATGCAGCGGCGCTAACAAAACTACTACTTACCTATTTTAATGTATAAAATGATTTGATTTCTATTTGTCAAACCTAAATGAAAAGAATTGACAACCTATTAACTAAAATTTGAAAATTGATATATCTAAGTTTTTTTTTCATTTAACAATCATATTGTTACGATAAAAGTAAAAAATTATTCACAAGATCTTTTAAAAAATGTGCTTATTTCCTATTTTTTTCTTAACTTACCTGGTTTTTCGTTTCTTTTTATATTCCAATTTATGTATGGTAGACATCATTTTGTGATACTTTTGGTAACTTTAATGCTAGTTTATTTGCTGCGAAGTGAAAAATGCCAGCAATAACATTTAGCCTTTAGAACAGCATTTTTATCTGTAAGTAATAAAAAGTTCGAAAGTTAGTTTTCAGAAACTAATGAAAATAACATAAATAGTTCATAAACACTGGACAAATAAGAGGCCACAAACAGCTTTAGTCTGATTTCAAACTAAACAATCGTTTTTTTTGTGAGAGTGTCACATGATGCAATAAAACAACAAATAGACTTGGACATTTATGAGAAAAACTCATTCAGCGCTAACAAAATCACCGCTAACAAGTTATAATATATAATTTGTTTGTTTTCTTTTTGTAAAACCTAAATGAGAAAATTTTACTAGCTACATCCAATGTTTTTTTTTCTTTAACCAAAATATTTAACGCCACAATCATATTGTTTCGATAATAGTGAAAATCTTTCACGTTGTTTTTTTTTTCCAAAGTTGTGCTTATTTCGTATTTTTTTGCTTGAAATTAATCTCGATTGTTTTTCTTATTATGTTCCAGTTTATGTATATGAACATAAGTTTGCAATAATTTTTGGTAATCTTTATTTAAGAATTGAGTGCTTCTTTTTGATTTTTTGGGGTGTGAAAGCTTTGACAGAAGTACATTTTGTATGAAGCGCAGAAGTTATATCAAATTTTCCGTTTGTTTTCCTATGCATTGTTCTGACGTTGTCACGAGAAGCACGTGCTGCCATGAATGTTGTATTTTATTGGGAAATAAAATCATAAATTATTTTCTTATGCTCCTCGATTGTTGTTAGCCAATTAAAAGTAAGGATTCTTATGAAACATACATGTAATGTAATTATTCTAGTTTACATGCTGCAAATTGAAAAGGACTAAAACAGTTTGAAGCTTTAGGACAACATTTTTATCTGTGAGTAATATTAACAGCACGAAACTTAATTTTCAGAAAATAAAGAAAATAAATAAAATAGTCCATAAAAACTGGAAAAATAGGATGCCACAAAAATCTTAGGAATATTTACAATGAAATAGCAATTACAACAATTTCAAAATACGCTTGAAGTTGGTCAATACAACCAAGAATATTGCTATTGAATTAATTGAATGTAAAAAAATAATTAACATTTTCTACAATTATTTTGTTTTGAGAAATGTATTACTTAATGTTCCTAATGATAATCAAATATATCTAAATGTTTATTAGAGTAGCATGATTTATTACATTAGAGGCACATTATATGTTGGTTAATGGTATGAATACACGTCTGAATGATGCAGCGTATGGGCATAGTATTGCATAGCATATTTGTGACGAATCCAGGATATTCAAAAAGATGGTCCCGGAGAGGCTTGCCAAAATATAAGTAGGCGGTAGTCAAAATCAGAAAAATATACTAATAGACGCGAATTTTCTACCATAAGAGAGACCGAGTCCCCTGGATTCACCCCTGCATATCATGTACTTTACAACTGCACTTTTGAGGTATATAAAAGTTACATAATTGGACTGACGTATTGAATTGAACTGCAAATGATATTTTTGCGTGTGCATTTGTTATCTTATTTTTACTGAATGTCAACTTATTCTAATTGTGTTTGATTATTAAAAACATCAAACAATACGACTTTTAATTGTGCAAACATTGCTGCTCATATTGTTCTACAGTTCTGTCCAAAGATCTGAAAGTAAATGTTAATTTCAAATGACTATACAGAACATCGGAAAATATATGATGATACAAAATATAAAGACCCAATAATACTGGTCATCAGCAATTTCGAGACAAGCAAAACTACAAAGAAGGTAATTTCGTTTAACATCTTTTTTAATCTAATTTATTTCAATCTGCAGAGCAAATCACCTCTAATGTGTTACATTTGTTGCAATTAGCCAAACATCAAAAGATATAACATGCAATATTGAGCGGAAAATGTAATAATATGCATGTAGATTACCATTGTTTTTTCTTCTATTCAATTAAGAACAGTCAATATGTATGCAATTTAGAACAGTCAATATGTACAAGTGACGGGCATAAAATGCATACAAAAGCAAACAAATACAAGATGGTGATGAATTGAACATTAATCAATGAACTCAAGATGACATTAATATAGGTTACATATTAAAATTGGAAATGACCTTGATTGAGCAGTTTTTTCTTAAGAATTGCGACATGGAACTGCAAAACCTTCGTAATGAGTGTGCGTACTGCTACTATATCGAGTGTTGATGATGATCAGTTTATGTAAAATGAAATATATGGTTGAAAACGCACATTACATAATATCCTGATAAGCTGAGTAAAACAAACATGACTAAATTTCACAAAAACTGATCATATATATAAACAAAATAGCATACTGATGAACATCTACATCGAAAACTTGACAGAAAACGTCCGTCAGTCTATAATGTAGACTTATTTAAAACTTGACAGAAAACGTCAGTCTATAATGTAGATTTATTTATAAAAAACTTGACAGAAAACGTCAGTCTATAATGTAGATTTATTTAAAACTTGACAGAAAACGTCAGTCTATAATGTAGATTTATTTAAAACTTGACAGAAAACGTCAGTCTATAATGTAGATTTATTTTAAACTTGACAGAAAACGTCAGTCTATAATGTAGATTTATTTTTAAAAAAACTTGACAGAAAACGTCAGTCTATAATGTAGATTTATTTAAAACTTGACAGAAAACGTCAGTCTATAATGTAGACTTATTTAAAACTTGACAGAAAACGTCAGTCTATAATGTAGATTTATTTAAAACTTGACAGAAAACGTCAGTCTATAATGTAGACTTATTTAAAACTTGACAGAAAACGTCAGTCTATAATGTAGATTTATTTAAACACATCTTTATGTGGTTCAAGATCTGCTTACCATTCCGGAGCACCTTAGAGTCCCCCCCCCCCCCCAACCCCACCCAAGTTTTTGGTGGGGTTCGTGCTGATCAGTCTTTAGTTTTCTATTTTGCGTTTTGTGTGCTGTTGTTTGTCTGTTTGTCTTTTTTCTTTTTTAGCCATGGCATTGCCAGTTTATTTTCGACTTATGAGTTTGAATGTCCATTTTGTATCTTTCGCCTCTCTTCTATCGAATAAGCAAATCACAAAGCTCAAAAACTACAACAAATTTTCTAACTTAATGGTTCTACGTATTTTTAAATCCCTAACGTTCAAATTTTAGGTTTAAATGTTCCTGGTGATGATAAATCCAGAAAAGCCCCTCGGACGCACGGAATTTATAAAAAAAAATTCCATTTCATAGCACAAGGTCGATACCTCTGCTGATGGACTGAGAGTCCCGAAGGTATCTTCAGCTCAGTAGTCAGTGCTCCATTACTGACATGATTGGTGGCATACATTTCTAAAATTCCCCGTTGATAAATTAAGAAATTATAGAGAAACTAAGGTTCCAACTCCCTCATGCAAAGTTGACCTTAGACGAATTTGGCTATTTGTAGGTCCCTTTTGGTCATATAGCTCCTAAAGTTTCTACCAATTTTTACATCCCTGGCTATCTAATAAGTTTCTACTAATTTTTACATCCCTGGCTATCAAATCAGTTTCTACTAATTTTTACATCCCTGGCTATCAAATAAGTTTCTACCAATTTTTACATCCCTGGCTATCAAATAAGTTTCTACTAATTTTTACATCCCTGGCTATCAAATAAGTTTCTACTAATTTTTACATCCTTGGCTATCAAATGTTTATTATTAAGCGTTCCTGGTGAAGATAAACCC